GCCCGTCGTGCCACCGACCAGGTCGAAAGTACTCCGCCTTCGTCTTGGCGTCCCACACCTTCCACGTCGCCGTGATCTTGCCGTGCTCCTCCTTGAGCCTGTTGTGCGCCGCACGCAGCTCGTCGAAATCGGAGCCCGGTGCCTTGCTCACGTCAAGGTCGCGGAAAAAGAATTTTACTCCAAGTGCTCCAAGTGCTCCAACAAAACTCCCTCGCACAACACTGGGCACAGGACTGGGCACGGGACTGGCGCGCACTGGCACTAACACAGGTACACCACGTGAAAAAGAATTATGGACAAAAAATTGCAGATACACTGGCACTAACAAGGTACACCACGGGACTCCTTGCGAAAACCCCGAGAGAGATTTTTGAAAACCCGTAGCCGTGCACCTCGTCCTGAGACCCGAACCCCCTGCAAAGTGCAAAATACAAGGGAACAGAATCAAACTACCCTCTTTGTAGCTTCACCTATAACTATCCACCTTCACGCATGCACACCGATACTCTCTCACATAACGTACGTTACACTGGGGCTCATTGCGACGCTCCCCTGGGGGGCGAAAATCGGCGCCGCCCGCCGATTTGCGACGCTACCCCGTGGGGGGAGCGTCGCAAATCGACGGCGACGAAATCGACACCGCCCGTCGATTTGCGACGCTCCCCCTGGGGCGAGCGTCGCAAATCGCCGGCGGCGAAAATCGGCGCCGCCCGCAGACCCCAGTCAGACGCTCTGCTCGACGCTCTCCTCCGTCCATCCCGACGTTTCCTTGTTGGCAGCGGCGAGCTGCTCGAGCTGTTCACCGCCGCGAGTCGCGGACTCGAACGCCCCGTGGCTGCCGACCATAGCCTTGAGGTGGGACACAACCTTCCCCGTCTTCAGCTTGGCGACCTCCGCCGCTGCCTCATCCACCTTCTCCTCCATCTCCTTCTCCTTGGAGCGCACGTACGCCATCATCTCGCTCTCGCCCACCCACGCGTTGACCTGCGTGGTGAAGGAGATGTGGCAGAGCAAAAAGCAGTTGCGGATCCGCGTGCCTCGCGTCGAGCGCATGTGGAGCACGCGGTACCCTTCCCGCAGCACGCCGAGCACGCATGTCTCGTACGCCGCCTCCTCCTCCTCGTCCAGCACCGCCACGCGCAGGACCGTCTGCTGCCGCTCCGCTGCCACGCAATGCACCTCGCCGCCGTAGCGCACCGCCTCGCCTCCGCCGCCGCCCTTGGCGCTCACCAGCTGGCGCGTGCGCGCCGTGGCGGGCGGCAGCGTGAGGCTCACGCACGAGAAGCCGCCGATGGCGTGCAGCTCGACGGCGAGCGACGGCAGCTCATCCTCCCCGCGCGGTGCCCTCATGCGCCGCTTGCCGACCGCCACCGACAGGGACGGGACGTGGGTGTGGAGACTCCCGCCGCCGCCAAAGACGTCCGGCCGGTCGATGCCGCGGGGCGGGAGGCCAAAGAGCGAGATCGGGCGGAGTGTCGCCACGTGCAGCACCACACGCGGAGGCGGCCAATTCGGCGCCACGCCGCCGCCGGGCTCGCCGAGCATCTCGGCGGGCTTGAGGACGTACCCGCGGCCGCCGTTGAGCTCGAAGAGGGCGTGGTGCAGCTGCGAAGGCAGATCGTTGGTCTGCAGGTTGAGCGCCGCCATCTGTGCGCCTGTTCACGGCCAGCGGTGTGAAGAGACGCCGTGCACAGCCGCAGGCTGAGGGCCGCCGTCGGCGCGCCCGCGGCCCAGCACGGCATCGGGTCGAAGTTATCGCTCTTGGTGCGCGTGCCCTTGGGGAAAACGCGCACGATCCGGCGCACGGTGCGCTCCTGCATCGCCACCCGCCACTCCTCCTCACTCAGCCGCTTGGCCCTGGCCAGTCGCTGCGACCCATCCGAGGAAGGAAGGTCGGACGACCCGCTCGTGGTGCTGCGCGGCGCCTTGCGCCCGAAGAGCCGGCCCGGGCTGATGCTGCTCCGGCTGCGATGGGAGGTGCTCTGCTTGCGCCCAGGCGGTGGCATAATGACGCCGAGCGCGTCGGAAAGCTTGGCCTCGGCGGCGTGCGAGAAGTGGAGCTCGGATGCGGAGGTGACCGTGAGCAGCTCGCCGCTGTCGCGCCCCTCCCGCGGCCTCTCGAGGAAGAAAGCCTCCCGCACGAGCGCGTGCGCCGCCTCAACTCGCTGCAGCGCCATCGCGTGCGTTCGAATGACGATCCTGCCCAGTGCCGCCGCCGTCGACGTCTCGGAGCCGAGGCGTCCGGAGCCAGAGCTGAGCGTAGAGGGACGGAAGCTCTGAGTGGGGTCCGCCGAGCTCTCCCCGAGGATGCCGCTGGGGAACGAGACCCGCGCCGTGCTGCCGCTGGGGAACGAAGTCCGCGAATCACGCTCCTCCGACGCGCGAGGTAGCGCCCAACCGTCCTCGTTGTCGCTCTCTCGCAACGTCGTCGTCAACGTGGAAACGGTTCGCCGCGACTCTTGCGCACTGCTAACAGTGAAGCGATCCTCGCTGCGTCGGCAATCGCCACAGATGCGCGCGGCGAGCTCGCGGCCCGCGACCGTCTTCCCCTTGCAGAGGATGCGCCGGCGCAGCAGGTGCGGGCAAGCGGCCGCAAGAGGCGCGCCGTCCGCCAGCCGCTCCTCGGGCAGCACCAGCGCCGAGCCGAGCACCTCCACAATCAACTCCGCTGCCCGCGCCTGTTGCTTGGGTGACGCGCGCACGTCGAGCGAGAGGTGGACGGGCAAGTCGGACGTGATGAAGGCTGCGTCGGCGATCGCGTGCAGAACCTTCTTCAGCTGGATGCGCGTCACGAGGGTGTAGTGGTGCGTCACCTGCCGAGTGCCAAGAGCTAATAGGGGAGGAAAGGGGTGGGGAGGGTGTTAGGGTGGATCGTCACCACGGGACCGTCCATCCCGTCGACGATGTCCACCTCGAGGCTGCGGCAGCCGCAGAGCAACAAGCGGGAGTACATGCCCGCGTCCGCCTCCGAAGTGAGCTGGTGGCCTATCGCAGAGATGGGACTGCGGTACTGCCGAAGTGCTTCCGCCTCTAAGACAGACGGCGTGGCTGTGTGCGATCTCGTGGTGCAATCTCGGCAGCATCTTGGTCTTGTCTGCGCACCGGTGATGTAAGTGTTGTGCGATGCAGCGATCCAGTAGTGCGAGAGCGGCCGCGAGGCGTCGTGCTCTTCGCCGAGCAAGCGCGGGCAAGCGGCACGGTTCTCGGAGCGCAAAAGGAGCAATGCAAACTGCTCGTGGTTGAGCGTCGCGCCCTCGTCCCCCCCACCCGGGCCACACACTCCACCCGAGACGGCTGGAAGGGTCGAACCGCAGCTCCGTCGCTTCGAGAGCCCGGAGGCCTTGCCGACACTGTCGCGCGCCATGCCTGCTGCCGCCCTCGCTGCCTCGATGACACGGCGTGGGCCTGGCGGCGTGGCCATGCTCGTGTGAGACTTGCCGGACGACTCCGCCGCCATGGCGGTGAGGTGCGCCTCGCGCACCGCGAGCAGAAACTGCGTGCGCGCCTGGCGGGGGAAAGCTCCGAGATCGGCGGGCACTGGCGCTTGTCGGGGTGCTAGTGGGCGGGCGGTGCCACGCCTTCTCGAGATCGGCCTCGGCCTGGTCGGCTGAGCAGAAGCGGAGCCAATCTTGCATGCCCACCAGGCCGGTGGCCGGCGAGGCGACGCGATCGAAGAGTGCTCGCAGCTCGGCATCGCCTGTTTGCAACACAAGCGTGAATGGACAGTGTTTGTGCCAGCTTGAAGCTCTGGCGCAACGCTCGCGCGCCGCGCAGCTCGGCTCTGAACTGCTCGTCCGGCCTCTCCGCCTCCTTGGCCGCCTTGCGCAACTGTGTATGCGCGTCCAAGTGGTGCCGACGGAGCCACCAACGCTGGAACACTGCTGGTAGCAGGTAGCGCCAGCCGACAAGCTTTGCCAGGCGATATGGCGAGAGGCCAAAGCGCACCGCCAGGCGTCGCAGCCGCCGGCGCAGAAAGCAAAAGCCGACGAGGACGAGGAGGAGTCCAGCGCCACCGACGCCGGTGGCGATGGAAATCAACCAGATTGCCGGTGGAGCCGATTCCTCGCACGTGCTTGCGGAGCATAGGAGGCACGAACCGTCGTAGTCGAGACGGTGGGAGTCGGCGGGGCACTCCGCCGCCGGCGCCGGGTAGTCGAGCTGTGCGCCGGACACCGCCGACTGCGCCGGCGACTGCGACAGCACAGGCTGCGCGTGGCCGCCGCTCACCTGCAGCAAAGTGGGCGGCCGGCCCACATTCTGGCCGCGTGCGTCGAAGCTGATCGGACCGATGTAGGTGATGGCGATGCGCTCGCCGGAGCGGAGGTAGGAGCGGAGAAGCTCGTAGTCGAGGGGGTCGCTCAGCGGCTTGTCAGGTTTCGGCATGTCGCGGAATCGGAAAAGTTTTATCAGCGCTTGTGCGAGGAGCGACGGGATAGCCGCCGCGTCCGGTTGCTCGACGAGCTGGCCGCCGTCGCCACCGCCGCCACTACTGCTGGCGGGCATGCGCGCAGCGCGCAGCTGCTCGTAGGTTGCGTAGGCTGTGTCCTCGAGAAGGGCGTCGGCATAGCCACGGAGCGCCTCGTCAGACGCCATCTGCGCCGCACCAGTCACGTGCTCGCACTCCTCCGCCAGCCCGGCGCAAGTCTCGTTACCCAACGCAACGCCTGACCACCAAACGCCCGAGTACACGTGGGCATTCGGCGCGTCCGGCGGGCGCCACGACTTGAGCCGCTCCAGCGCGAAACGGAACAGGGGCTCTGGCACTGTCAGCACGAGCACGTCCGGTGCGGTGCCGTGCGCCGCGGTGAGGTGCGCGGTGAGCGCTGCGTAGTCCACGGCGCCGTCCGCCCGCCGGCGGAGACTAGCGTTATACCGCACGTCGTAGGCTAGAGCGCGCGCGTCTTCGATGGCCTGCCGACCCAAGCCGACGTAGAACGGGTCACCGTTGTCCTCATACAGCAGCGCGGACGACGACGCACCCAGCTTCTGGTACCGCTCGAGCGCAGCCCTGGCGGAATGGTCCGAATCAACGTAAGTCGAGAATAGATAAGGCTGCTCTGCGCCGCCGGCGGTGAGGACGCGCGGGTCGCGTCCCGTCACGTAGATGCGCCGCGTCTCGTTCGCTACTAACGCCTGCGCCGCAATCTCGTCATCGGGGCAGCCGCTCGTCATGCCAACGACGACGTCGCACCGATCGCTCCCAAAGGTCGCGCGCGACAAGTTGCGGCCGTGCGTCGCCCAGCTGCCGGCAGGGTAGGTGTGGTACGTGTAGTTGAAGCGGTAGGTGCGGGTGATGAGCCCCGAGCGGAGCGAGAAGCCCGCGCCGCCGTTGAGCTCATTGATCGCACCCACCATCGCCTCGATCTGTAGGTGCGTGCGTGCCGTCCCGCATGGGCCACCGCCGTCCGCCTCGGCGAACACCGAGCAGAGCTGCAGCGTCCCCGTCCGCGCCAAGTACCAGTCCGTGAATGAGTCAGGGGCCGAGCACGTCGCATAGCTGTAGTGCAGCCCTCCCTCGCCCTCGAGGTAGGAGGACTCTGCATGATCGAGAGCGCAGTGGCTGGCGTTGACATAGCACCAGGGCGAGGAGCACCAGGCTGGGGCTCCTGGCACGTTGCAGAAGGGCGGCATCCCCGAGTCGTGCGCCGCGCACAGGTTCAAGCCGTACTCAATTCCATAGTCGCAGCCACTGGCGCAGACCGAGTCGGCCACGCTGACGTTGAGTCGGCCGATGCTGTCGGCATTCGCGACGCGAAAGCCGAGGTAGCTCGTGGCACACGGGCACGCAAGCCGCCCAGTGTTCTGGCACGACATGGCCGAGCAGTCAAGTCGGTCACGCCGGCCGACCCGCGTTCCGCACAACAGCCGCTCGCCGCCGAGTCGCGGTCACGCCGGCCGCCCCGCGTTCCGCTCGCCGCGGCGGCGGTCACGACGTGGGGTTGTGGGGAGCCTGGGGGGTTTGAGGAAAGGCGGCGCAGATGTGTTGGACCACCTTTTCTAAAAAGAAAAACGGGGGGTGGTCTTATCCAAACGAGAGGTCAGGCATAGGAGCAACTTGTGTAGACGTACTACACACACACAAAGACCGAGTTCTCCACTCACTCAACTTCTTCCCACACACGCAGAGGCCCTCCTCACGCCCCGCCAGCAGCCCTCCGCATGCGAGCCGCTTGCCTCTGCAGTCTCTCGCCAATTCTCGCAGCGACCTTTATGCCTCCTCGCCTAAAAGAAAGAAAGAAAATACAGGGGTCAGGGCTCTCTAGCCCGTAGCCCGATGCCGAGCGTCCGGCCAACTGGGTGCGCTTCTCAGCTCCCCGGTCCTGGACGTGAGGTTACCGACCGCACTCCGTGGACGCCGGACAGATGATGACGACACGCACGAGCGACACACAGACACAAACAAGCTCAAGACACACAACTTTCGCGCGCTTCAAATTCTTTTTGAGCTTAGCCTTCGATGTTATGAAACAACGCAAGGCGGACATGGCATATCGCTCTCGGGCCCACAGACATCCCGCACACTCCCTCGCCGCACACCCGCCGCCCCCCGCGCGCGCCCCACCCCGGCCGGGAGAGAGGGGAGTGACAGATTGGGATGGCAACAGACCGAGTATGTTGAGTCCTGGCTCAACAACGCAGGGTAAATGTAAGCCGGATGGCTCACAGGCCACCTCTCGCGCCCCGATCTGACCCTCTTACTACCGCACTGATCACTTCCGCCCCCTCGCTCCCAACCCATCCACCTCGCCTCGGGCCACGCCGCGCGATCTCGGGCCGCGCGATCTCGGGCGATCTCGCGCAATCCCGGGCGATCTCGGAGCTCCACGCCACACCGCCCCCCCCCCCCCCCCACCCCCCACCCGACCTCGCCCACCGCCGCGCCGCGCTATCTCGGGCGATCTCGGAGCGTCGCTCGCGCGGCGTCACACCTGCTCAAAAAAGGAAGGGCCTGGTTGGAGCCACGGGGCTCACGAGGACGTGCTCGCTCGGTTCTCGCCGCCTCGCCCTGCGCCACTTGGGCCGGTGAGGCGGCGCCCCGCGCGGCGCGTCCCTCGCCCCGTCACGCCGACCCCTGCGCGCACCGCTCATCTTCAGCCCCCTCCTGGGGTTACTCTCGCGCTCACGCAGGGGAACCCGGCGGTACTCCCTTCCCCCCACCTCCGACGGGTTAGGTCGGTGCTGCGCCCCTTTGGCGCTCGTGTGCATGTCCCGCGTGCCCGCCTGCCAGGGCTGATGCCAAGGCCAAATCAACAACATGCCCGGCTGATGCCAAGGCCAAATCAGAAAGAAAGAAAGAAAACAGACAACCCAAGGGAGGGATGGGAGGACGGCACGCCGCCACCACACAGGGATTTTAAGGAGAGGGGTGTGGTGCGCTAGCCATCGCCCACCCTCGGGCGTCCGCCTCTTCCTATCTCACTTCGCAGTCTCTCTCCAATTCTCGCTGCAACCTTCGTGCCACCTCGCGGTCTCCCCCTTCTCGTCGTGCTCTCCCTTGTCGCCTCTTCCTCTGTCGCGTCGCTCTCCTCTGCCTCGTTCTGCGCCGCCGCCGCCGCCTGCCGTTCCCTTGTCCTCTCGGCTTCTTTTGCCTTTCGGCGCAACTCCGTCCTCCTCGCTGCGTATCCTGGCCCCTCGAGTCTATCGAGCTCCCCTCGCGCAAGGACGAGTCTTCTGACGCCCACTGCTATCATTTGCCGCCCAGTCATGTGGTTGCTCAGGTCCACTCTCTCTTCGAACACTTGTGCCTCTACGGATGATGCCGGCGCTGGAGTCCCCTTCGGGTGCATCGTGACATCTGACAACTGGATTTCCACTGGTTCGTCCTCCTCGGAGTCGTCTTCCCCCGCTGCATTCCGCTCAGCTCTACGTTCGGTACGTTCGGCGTGGCTCACCCTCCATGCCGTGAACAGGCGCTTTATCCACCCTATATTCTTCTCTCGTTCCTCTGCCCGAGAGAGAGATTTTTAGCAATACCAAACAACTCTAACACTCACACGTTTGTTGTTCTGCCCGTGCCTTGGTCTTGTCGTTGTTTCGCATCCATGTCTGCATGGCAGTCGAGGCTGCCTTCCCCACTACCTGTAGTTCACTCGTCACCTCCCCCGCGAGCTCCCTTTTCTTTCTTTCGGGTATGGGGGGTCCAAATCAACAACATGCGCGCAACTTTTTTTTTTGTGAAGCAATCGCTGATATGGAGATCTCCATCAGTGCCGTGCGGAGCTGCGCGCCTGAGGCAAGGGGAAAGGCGAAGGCGGTGCTATCTTCGCGCTTCGCGGATTCGTCGTTGCCTCCCGAGACGGTCAGCTTCAACCGGACATTGATCAACCACATCTGGGGCGGGCGGAGCGTCGAGTGCGCAAAGGCCGGGCGGGCGGTTAAGACCGCCGACATGCTTCTGGCGGTCGGCATGATTGGCGACGATTGCGTGGCGGCGGCAGTCATCCGAGATGTGAGTCCCCCGCGGCGTGTGGCGAAGCCCGGCCGTGCAGAGATTCTACTGCTCGCCACGCACTCGGTGCGTTTTTTGTGAATGTTTGCCTAGGCGACTGTGGTCGGGGCTGATGTGTGCTCTCTGCCCCTTGGCGCAGGCGCGTGAGAGGCAGGGCCACGCGACGGCCATCGTCAACGCGATCCTAAGCCGCACGAATGGCGGCGCAGTGCTCGCGGTCTCTTCCCAGTCCACCGCCCAATTCTGGGTCAAGCGGGGCTTCCAGTTTTGGGGCTCGCGGTCGACGCCGTCGTCTTTGCCAGGCGACCCCGCGGATGTCACCGAGGACGTCTTTGTTCCGTGGACGTCGAGCGTGTTTGTGCTGGGGCAGGTGGCTCCCGCCTTGGCCATACGTCTGCCCGATGCGATGCTGCATGCACACTCCGCACTGCTTGCAGGTGCGGGCCGCGCCCGAGTCGGTGGTTGAGGCACCCGCACCGCGCGTGGAGACAACCGCACCCGCGGCCGAGGCGCCCGCGCGTGCGGCGGCCGAGGAGCGCCTGCAATGCGTGCGTGTGGCCTGCCATCACCTCTGCACACTGAGGCACATGCTTCTACCACTAGGCGGAGTGCGATCCCGTCGCCGACTTTTGGGAGCAGCGCTTCGGCGAGCTGCAGGCGTACAAGGCGCGCTTCGGCAACTGCCGCGTGCCTCGGGGGTGGAGCGAGAAGCCGCAGCTTGCGAAGTGGGTCGACAACCAGCGCCAAGCGAAGCGGAAGTTTGACCAGGGCGACGAGCGAGCGTCGATCACGCAGCCGCGCTTCGAGCGGCTGACCGGCATCGGATTCGAGTGGGACCCAGCCGCCGACCTTTGGGAGCAGCGCTTCGGCGAGCTGCAGGCGTACAAGGCACGCTTCGGCAACTGCCGCGTGCCTCGGGGGTGGAGCGAGAAGCCGCAGCTTGCGACGTGGGTCGACAACCAGCGCACCGCGAAGCGGAATTTTGACCAGGGCGACGAGCGATCGATCACGCAGCCGCGCTTCGAGCGGCTGACCGGCATCGGATTCGAGTGGGACAGAGCCGCCGACCTTTGGGAGCAGCGCTTCGGCGAGCTGCAGGCGTACAAGGCACGCTTCGGCAACTGCAACGTGCCTAAGCAGTGGAGCGAGAACCGGCCGCTGGGGGAGTGGGTCGACAGGCAGCGCGCGGAGAAGCGGAAGTTTGACCAGGGCAAGCCATCGTCGATCACGCAGGAGCGCATCGACCGGCTTGACGGCATCGGGTTCGAGTGGAATCCTCCGATAGGGGCAGCAAGAGGGGCGGCGAAGCACCAGCCGCACGGGGCATCGGCGAGCCGCTGCCTCGACACGCCTCGCTCCCCGGCGCGAGGAGGCGACGGCTGCGCCAGCCCGCCCGCATCCCGTTCGGGCGCGCCGGGCGAAGCCGCGGAGCGGTCCATTCCACGCCTTGCCGAGTTGGTGGACGGTTGGGTGAGCGCGAGTCCACTCAGCGCCCCGCCCGCCGCCGCTCCCGCCGCCGCGCCCATCCCCGACGCATCGATGGCGGGCTTGGCGGCGGAGATGGCGGCGCTGGCCCCGTTCAGCGATCGTGGGCTTTCAGTCGAGAAGCACGTCGAAGATGGCGCCTCAAGGTGGCTACGGAACGCCAACTCGCTGATAGCGGCGGCCGGCGATGCCGCCGGCAGGGCTACCGCCGATGCGCTTCGGGAGGGCGCCTCCCCGGAGGTCGCCGAGGCTGCGGGCTGGGCGGTAGGCCGCGCCGTGGCCGATGGCAAGTCGACCTTGGCGTCGGCCGCCGGTGAGGCCGCGCGCGCGGCAGCCGGCCGCACGATCGAAGAGGGTCGTCCCCTCGGCGCGGTGCTGGCCGGCGAGGTGGCGACCATGGCTGTCCTCGCCGGCTCTAACCAGCACGAAGCCATCGCCGCGGGCTGCGCCGCCGGCAAGGACGCTCCCGACGCTGAGCGCGACTAGATATAGGAGATGGGTGGCGTCACAACGACAAAGGCCCGATCTCGCTCCCGGCCGCCCTCTCTCGTCTCTGCAGATTAATATTATGTGTGTTCTCGCGGCCGCCTCGCAATGAAGTTATTAATAATCTGTCTGTCTGCTCTGTGTGGTTATTCGCGATGGTTTGTCTTTTGAGTATGAAAGGCCTAGTCTGGCCGGTTTCTTTGGCTAGTTCCATTTCACTCTGACACGCTAATCTCCTTGAAAACGTCCAACGGAGCTCCGTGTTGCTCCCAGCGCCTTCCTGCGGCCCTAGCCGATGATACTAGCATGGGAGGTCATCTGACTACCGCGAGAGCGACCCAACTCGCCGACGTCGTCCGATGATTGTGCCGCAAAGTCAGCCTTCGGAGGCTATCGTGGGGTCGAGCCGGCAGTAGCCGTGACATGTGGTTCCACCACCCCTCGTAGGCTTTGCCTCTGACCGCCACCGTTCCCAGGCTGCCTAATGGGATGGAAAGGAAGGCTCGGCGAGCGTATAGAAGCGTGCTCGACCTCGTCGTGGCAACCTGTACGGCAGCGCTGGTAGGCGCGATGAGCGTCGTGCCACCTGACCCGAGACGGGTCGCAGGCGTCGTACCGAGCGCGTCGAGACCGTGTCCTGATGCGCTCTGCACGGGTGAGCCACGTCGGCGTCAAAGGAGCGACGTGCGACCTGTCAGAGCTTGATCTCCGATCTCAGCGGCGTCGAGTCATCTCCGGCGCGCGACAAAGGTACATCCACAGGACGCGCAGAGGCAGCTGCGACCCCGCCGAGTAGACGGCGGCACACCGCGCCACCTGCTGTGTGCCGCCGTCCACTCGGCGGGGTGGCAGCTGCCTCTGGAAGGCACTGAGAGGTACAATAGTGCGCAAATGGTCAAAATCAAGGTTTTGTAACGCGAGCTGTGCCACAGTGAAATGGAACTAGCCTTTGCGGTATCTCTCCATATCTGACCATATCCCGCCATATCCCGCCATATCCCGCCATATCCCGCCATATCCCGCCATATCCCGCCATATACGGCCATATCCTGCCGTATCCTGCCCGCCTCACGCCGCCGCTTCTTGTGCTTCTTGCGTTTGCGCTTGCTTTCGGCGCGCTTCTCCTTCTTGTTCTTGCCCGGGCGATGCATCGTCGATGACGAGCTCTCGCCATATCATGGGAATCGACAAGCGCTCGACAAGCGCTGCCGTCGAAGCGCGCAGTTCGCCCGCGTCGCGTCCGGTTTGCGGTTTCACGGACGTTGTCGTGAACACATCATAAACACCAGTGCTCAAGTGCTCAAGACACGGCGCTTCCAATGAAGCAAGTCATTATCTTGGACGCATCCCTCGACGCGAAGTGGCGAAGAGCCATGCAGTCACCCGAATTGCTTGGACCTCTCCTGCAAGTAGAACGAAGCATTGTTGGAGCTTCCCCCTCCATGCATGGCGCATCTTATGCGTGGCGACGCGCTGAGCCACCGAGCCGTACTCGGCCGCGCCGCCGCGTCGAGGCACGGGTTCCCAGCCAAGCAGCGACGCCGAAGCGTCTACCGATAGAGCGCCACGCCCAGCAGTGTGGGCGTCGCGGCTCTCTCGAGCGGCCGCGTGGCAGTGCGTGGCGCGGGCGCCACGGGCGGCAAGCGTGGAGCCGCTGGAAGAGCCGGTGCGAGCCGTGGACGGCAGCCGCTCCCCACGTCGCCGAGAGATACGGCGGGAGAGGGTTCAGGAGGCCACCGGAGGCGCCGGGAGGCTCGGGAGGCGCTAAAAAGTGGCCCGGGCGCCTCGCGCCACCCGTCTGGTGGGGTCAGGTGGGCTCAGGAATTATTCCAGGTTTTTAAGGTGATCCACTACGCCTGACCGAGAATTGGATGCAAGGTAAGGTAAGGTAAGGTAAACTTCTCCACACACACGAGGTGGTGGGGCAAGGGGGGGCAACCCTCGCGTCTCCACGTCTAACGACAGGAGCCCCACGGCATTTAAAGTGCAAGGCCCGGTGCGCGTGGGTGAGCGGTGTGTGTGTGTGTGTGTGTGTGTGTGTGTGTGTGTGTGTGTGTGTGTGTGTGTGTGTGTGTGTGTGTCACGTCACTGCATCCTCTGCCGGTTCCTCCCGTCGCCTCTTCTTTGTTCGAATGTTTTTCAATCCATCCTTCACGAAGCCCTCCCATGTAGCTAGCGTTCTTTGCGAATGTCTCGAGATGGCCAGCAGGCGCTGTCTGCTCGCGGCCTGTGCGGGCCGCCCGTCCTCCTCGCCCTTCTTTCGTCCTCCCGTCCCTCCCCTCCACCATGGCCTCCTTGGCACTTCTTTCTCCATCCGCCTCGCCCTGCCTTTTCGTATCGTGCCGTTCGCCCTCCATTCGGTGACCTCCTTGGCTGTCCGTCTCCTCCCCTCACGACAAGTCTCACCTCTCGTCTCAACCCAAGTGGGAGCGGCAGTGGGTTGAGGACACAAACTTGTACTTTTGACCGAGCGTTATATTCAAAACACATCAAGAACTCAGGAACGGGTTCGCCACAGCACAGGACTCAGGAGGTGGGGCACATGCGGAAGAGCAACACGCTCTGTGTGCACCACACAATCATACGGGGCGCGCCAACCCCCACCGTGCCTAAACGGAGAGAGCCGACACATGCATGCAGGGAGAGGGAGTACAACCATGCAAGAGATCGAGGGAGAGGGAGAGGGAGAGGGAGAGGGAGAGGGAGAGGGAGAGGGAGAGGGAGAGGGAGAGGGAGGGAGGGAGAGAGAGAGAGAGAGAGAGAGAGAGAGAGAGAGAGAGAGAGAGAGGGAGAGGGAGAGGGAGAGGGAGAGAGAGAGTAGGGAGAGAGAGAGAGAGGGAGAGAGGAAGAGGGAGAGGGAGAGGGAGAGTCACTGCCAGGGGACCGCCACGCCAGCCTGCTGCTGCTGGATGGCGATCTGCGCAGCGCAGCCATCCTTCGCCGTCTTAACCCACACCTGCATCCCATCGACATCCTCGAGCTCAGCGCAAAGGTCGAGAGCCCGCGTGTAGTCTCCGGCGTTGTACGCCGACTCGATCTCGCCCTTGATCGTGCCCGGCTGGTTCCTACAGCGCCGCTTGCGCTGCTCGAGCTGCAGGCTGAGGCAGCTCAGGTCGTACATGGCGTTATCCCTCGCTGCCCGTGCCTTGGCCGCCGCCTCATCCTTCGCGCTCTGCTGCGCCATGCAGATCTCCTTGCGGATGGACGCCTGAACGCCCGCGGCCAGCATGTCGTACGCGTCCTCCTCGAGCTCGTGCAGCGCCTGCTGCTCCGCCTGCACCGCCTCCATCGTCTCCTCGTGCGTTGCGTCGAGCAAGCGGAGCAGCTCGTCAAACTGGCGCCCCAGCAGCTGCACGTCCTGCGACTTGGCCGAGATGAGGGAGATGATGCGGGAGGCGGGGAGAGACGGCCCCTGCGTGGGAGCCAGCTGCGATGGCACGAGCGTCTGCGCGAGCGTCGCCGCAGGCGGCGCTCCCGCCGCTCCGAGCGCTGCGCCAGAGCCGCCGGCGAGGCTGGACGGCTTGGGGACGTTTGGCGCTTCCAGGCGGCGGGCCGCCAGAGCGCCGCCGCTCATGCCGGCGTACAACGCCACAACCGACAACACCCACGCCAGCATGCGCTGGCGTTGGCAGTTGGGGTTGGGGTGCACGAGAGCCACGAGAGCACAGTCGTTGATTACCATGAGAGGCAGGTGCTCGTTTCCAACGCGTCCAAGCAGGAGGTCGCCCTGCTTCAGCTCGTCCCCAAAGAGCCGCCGGAAGCCCTCGGCCCCCGTCACTATCTGCAGCGAGCCCACCCCGGAGCCGTTCACGTGCTTCTCGAGCTGGGCAGCCAGGCCATCGTCTCGCAGCTGCGAAGCCTGGCTGGACACGGTGATGGCGTCGTAGGCTTGGTAATCGGCGAGGAGGTCGTTGATCACGTCGAGCGTCGCAAGGGTCGCCTCCTCGTCGGGCGCCGCAGCAAAGAGGACCCCCAGGTGGGACGCGCGCAGCACTCGGCACTTCCCTCGGTCGTCGCAACGCTGGGCGCCGAGCGCACAGCCCGGAGGGACGACGACGCCGCCTCGGCCCGCGGCGAACTCCGCGATGCTGCGAAGGCACGCGTTGCCTCGCTCGCTAGAGCTGATCATGCCAGGCGAGATCAGATACACAGAGGTGATCTGCATGGTCGCTGGCTGGAATGACTCGCGCGCCACCAGCTGTGGCCCGGGTTTTTCTTTTTTTTGAGAGCGCCTTCGTTGTTAAAACACAAACCATGGTCCCTTTCGAGCGGTCCCCTGTCGCAGTCGCACACACGCACACGCCGCACCGCACCGCGCGCCCGCCCGCTGCCCCGCCCAGGCGGAAAAGAGATGAGGAGATGGGACAGCAAAGGAGGAGGCACAAACACGTATGATGGTCGAGTGCACTTGCAGGAAGCGCTTGCGCTCGCTACTGACCCGCCATCGTTCGCTGTCGGAGGACGCCTTAGCGGCCTTGATGTCGAAGTTGGTGTTGAACCACGTCGCCGCCTCGTGCCCGATGCCGCCACGCGTGCTCGCCGCCCACGTCATAAAGTCGCAGTTTTTGGCGTCGCACGCCGCTGCCTTGGCCTTCCGCTTCGTCGCCTCGGCGTAGTCGGTGGCTAGGCGCTTGCCGCTCGCCAGCGGGCGCAGCCTGTCGTGGTGCACCGCGGTGACGCACGTGCCGTCGTACACCACGGCGCGTGCCGACTCTGCATAGTTGCCGAAGACGCCGTCGCCCCGCTGGTACGGGTTGGTGTCCGGATCGTGCGTCCGCGTCGGGTCCCTGCAGCCGAGCCTCACCTCCATGACCTTTGCCGAGGCGCCGAAGGCGCGGGCGACGTCCGTGACGTGGGTGTTGAGGGATGCGTGCCCCGTGGCCAACCAGCCGCCGTAGTTGCACCCGTCCCAGTGCGTGCCGCTGAGGTGCTCGAAGAGCGACAGCGTGCGCGGCACTCGCGCTTCGCCGATGTCGCACGGGACGCATCCCGGTAGCCTCGTGCGGTGGTAGATGCACACCGAGTTAGGGCCCACGCCGACGCAGCGCGTGGCGAGGGTGATGGCGCCCTTGGGGTGGTTGAGGTAGCCCTGCGCCTCGTGGAGCCACGCCTTGTCGTTCAGCTCGACGGCCTTGTGGACGACGTCGATGCCGAGCACCGCGCCCGCCCCGAGTTCTTCTTTTTGCACACAAGAAGAGAGACAACAAGTCTTTAAAAAATCTCTCTCTCACAAGAAGGTAAAACGTTTTATAAAATACCAAAAGCGGTGTACAAATTCTTCTTTTTGTCGCTTAGGCGGCTCCGGTGGTGAGCCGGTGTGTGTGCCAGTCCGCGCCAGTCCGCGCCCTTGTCGTGCCAGTGTGCTGTGAGAGAGGATTGTGTTTTAAGAATTCTTTTCAAGCAGAGAGAGTTGTCTTGTTTGTTCACGTGTGTCCCAAGAGGCGCCTCTTGGGAACAAGATACCGGAAGTCGACCCAGGCCACGCTAGCGCTGCAGTGCTTGCTCTCTCTCTCTGCTTGGGCTCTCATGCGCACGCTCCCCGCCCTGACGATCGCACTGCTCGCGGCCTTCGTCCATCGGTGCTGCCTGCGCATGGCCGACCCGTTTGGCGATGTCGCGGGGCTGCCGATCGACGAGGCCCGCGCCGCGCTCTTCACCGGCGGCCCAAACGGCTCCGCCTTCCCGGCGGCGCTGGTTGGGGTGTTCGAGTCCAACCGCCGGCTCCGCGGCGCGACGCTCCTCTTCACGGAGGAAGTGGTCGGGAGCGAGTGCGTCGGCGTCGCGCCCAACGGCGACCTCCTCATGCTCGACCGGAACGGATTTGTGTTCCGCGCCACGCCGCAGCAGCGCAAGGGCGGCGCCCTGGCGTACGAGCTGTCGAAGGAGCGGCACTACGTCGGCCCAGGCCGGCCGCTCGGCTTCCACGTCGCCGGCGAGTGGCTGTACGTCTGCTGCTCGCTCAAGGGCCTGCTGCGGCTCCACCTCGGCTCGGGCGCAATCGAGCTGCTCTCGGGCGCAACGGGCTCGCCGCCCTCGCCGCTCGCGTACGCCAACGACCTCGACCTCGACACCTCCGGCGCCGTCTACTTCTCCTCCTCCTCCGACCACCCCGTGGCACTGCACCCGCTGGCCGGCTTCTACGACACGATGCGCGGCCGACCTGCTCTTACTCCGCCGTCATGGAGCATGGAGAAGGAAGCGTGTATCCTTTGACGCGGTGTGCTCCCTAGGCGCGGCTACCTGCTCACCTCGCTGCACGGCGGCACGACCGGCCGGTTGCTGCGGTACGACCCGGCCTCTCGCCGCACCGCCGTGCTGCTGGAGGGCATCTTCCGAGACACAGCGTAGACAGTTCGTAGACGTTTCCTAGGCGCTTCCTAGACACCTCCTAGACACTTCCGAGACACTTCCGAGACATGGACGAGGCAGAACACGTGCCGCGGTCACTACCTGTAGGCATCTCGTACACACTTCCTAGACACTTCCTAGCACACTTCCTAGACACTTCCTAGACACTTCCTAGACACTTCCTAGACACTTCCTAGACAGAAAGGAGCCGCTCACCTGCTCACGGCGCGGCGTCTGGGAAGTGTCTAGGAAGTGTCTGCGAAGTGTGTAGGAAGTGTGTAGGCATCTCGTACGCGAACGGCGTCGCGCTGTCTGCGGACGGCGCCTGGGTCGCCGTCGTCGAGACGAATCTCAATCGCGTCCTCCGCTTTTGGCTCCGCGACGCCGACTGCAGGGGAGGAGGCGGGGGCGGGGGCGGAGGCGCCTGCCCGCGCGCGGGCGACACCGACGTGCTCATTGACAAGCTGCCAGGCATCCCCGATGGCATCTCCCGCGCGCCCGACGGCGGTTTCTGGCTCGCCCTCGTCGCGCCCCTCTCGCCGCTGCCGAGGCACCTCGCGGCGTGGCCGCGGCTGCGCACGCTGCTCTCGCACCTGCTGCCGTGGGTCGCCCCTTTCGCCGTCGGGTCCTGGGGCGCCGTCGTGAAGCTCGACGAGCGGGGCAGGCCCGTCGAGACACACACACACACACACACACACACACACACACACACACA